ATGAGAAAATGTTGGGATAAATATCCTGAGAAACGTCCATCAGCAAAGGATCTTTGTGAAATTTTTGAGAAATGGCAGAGTGATGAAAGTGTTTTGTTAGAACTGGATAAGTCCAAAACAGTACTTGAGAATATCGAAAATTCGTTCTATGAGAATATGTTCGAAGGTGGAAGCAAGTTCATCAACACGCGTGAAATTACAAAAAAGTTATCTGAAATGACTTTACTTAGCAAGGAAATTGAAGCTCTAGATATTCCTGATGACTCTTGATTTTTTTAAAAAGATTTTATGCATGCAGCTTTTTTATGTGAAATCTTTTTTGTATGATTATTTCATACTTTAAGTATTATCGAAGACTTGTTGAAGGCTTATAAGTGAAATAATAATAAAATAAAGCCAACCATCAAAGAACCTCATAAAATGCATAACAAATTTTATAGAAGCCTAATTATAAATAATAAGCAATTATGTATTGGTAATCGTGCCAGATTACACGTTTTTAAATAAAAATTTTTTACTTACGTCCCTGTTTTGTGTCTTGTTAGAGGATATTCGGTATTTAAAGATTAATAAAACATTATAAAATAAATTATAAAATAAATAATTTATTATTAAATTTATTAAAATAAATGAATTTAAAAAATAAATCATCTAGTATGTAGCGTTTCAAAATGAAATTATGCTTGATTTGATTTTATATAAAGCATTCTATATCTAATATATATTTAAATAAGAGTAACTTAAATATTACCAGAAAAGTGATGCTAATATTTGCAAACATTGATTTAAATATTAATTTAAATCCACATATTTTCTTCTCTTATTTTTAAAAGAACATCTGAAACTGTCCAAGCAAAACTTAGTAGTCTCTTATCATCAATAGCATCTGGAAATTCTTCTTCATGATATGTTACATAATACCAAGCTGATGCCTTGGCTTTTGTTTCGTTAGTGATTGGAATATTTACATTATATGTATCATTATCAACATATTGATCAATGTTATCTTGTAACCCTATTAAAAAATGCTTCCGAAATTTATGAATTATGAATGAAATTGTTCCAGATATTGAGTCTCGAATGTCTTGAGTTTTTCTTCCATCGATTCGATGAAAACTAAGAATGTTTGATGTTATGATCTCGGGTTCTGTTTTAACCCTAAATTTTTTCATCAAACTACGTATTTCACTGTTATATGTGTCTCGGCACACTTCAGCTTCTTCTAAGTAATCCTCGTATCCTTGTGCGAGAAACATTCTTTTTGGAGTAATTTTATCGTTTGTATCATAATTTAATAGTGGGGCATGTCTCGGCTGATCGAGTTCTATATTCCTATATAACTTTCCAAGAATCTTTTGAGATTCATACATCCCCTTGGTCTTATTCTCCATAAAATCAGGATATTCGTTCGTTGTTGGTAACGATTCCGTAACTGGAACACCTGTCTTGTTAAAATCGACCGCTTTTGAATGCTGTAATGGTAATGTGACATCAGTTTCAGTTATAAAAAAATCCTAATTTAAAAAACATTAATTTTATTTACCAGTTCAGCTAATTTCAGACATTGTGGGTGAAATATACCCTCTGGATGAAAATCTGCTAATGCAAGGTGTAAGCTTCCAATCATACCAATACGATCATTTTTCATGAAATCTATAAAGAAATCATGAATATCTGAAATCACCACTGGTCTATCCAGCTTCTTCCTCTCTGGAGGACTGTAGTCCATAGGGTCATGTTCGATCCTTGGAAAAATACGCTCATCGAAGCATATAAAAAATTCATCACCATCTATATTAGAAAGTATAAAGAATGTGAGAATGTACAGAAAGAATAATAAACATCAACAATTACTTGTAAAATGACATGCCTAGATCACCGCCACTCTGTTAAAAATGTGAAATATAAGATAATGCTAAGATAAAATATAACATTGCCATAATAAGTAATACAAACCAAATAATTGGGTAATGATCGATCTCCTTTCTGACTGAATACAACACAGTTTTTAAGATGTCTTAATTCCGGAACATCTACAGCCCAAACTATTCTTATATCACCAGGATGTAAACTTGGGTTTCGCGCAATTACTGTTCGTAAAAAAAAAAAAAAAAAAAGATATAGAAAATATGTTATGAAAACGTAATGATCTTGAATGTATAATTAATCATCTGCTATTGTATTGTTGTTATTGTTATTGTTACTACCTGCAGGACCGGTTAACACCTACAGTTATGTTTGTTATGTTTAATACAAAATTTAGTAAATATTAGTTTTTGTAAGACAATAAATTGAAAAATAACATACTTTATGATCTCTTCGAATTCTATTGTTGGCTGTACGAAATGTGTTATTTTCAGATATTATTGTAGATGTCTGAATATAGACTTGATCTTTAAAAAATAGATTAAACACAGATTATTAATTTTATAACCTATTGTCAGAACTTCTAATAATAAGCAAATAGTCTACCATATTCTACCTGGTTCAAGAATTCCAGTTTCATCAAGAACACCAAATAACATATATCCCCGTGGTACTGGGATACGCGCTTTGTATCTTAAGTATTTCAATGCAAATATTCGCTTGCATTCCAGAATTCCCCTTAGATATGGTTCGTCAATTTCCATTAATCTCTATAAACAAAATGGATCAAAATAAGGTATTCGGTGTATAATCAAAATTTTAAAACTTAAAAGTTAATATAAACACCAACCGTTTCAATCATACTGAGGATAGTGCGAGTAACATGAGAACATTCTCTTGTTCCCGAACTTCTTTTCACGATTTCACAGGCCTTTTGAGGATTACGCATCATAGAATCAATATCCGCTTTTGCATTATTTTGAAGTCTGATAAAAATATCATCGGGAACGCCAAGTGAAGATAATACGGTAATTATCTGTCTATTTAGATGTGCAGCTAACGGATTTTTCACCGCTTTTACAATTTCCAAATTTGTTGCGATCGGTGCCTCAAATTTGGTTTGACTTGGGCGTAAACATATAACATTCCCATTTAAATTCGGATTAACTGAGACAACTCCCTGGGAAAAATATGTATACACAAAATTAATGCTTAAAAAGTTGTGCTAAAAATTAATTTTTAACATTAATTTGTATTGTACCTTACAACCTCCGAATCTAAACTGAAAGACAGATGGTATTTCATCATTTTGTCGTGTACCCCAGTAATGTCTAGCTGCAAGTTCTGCAAGACCTGGAGATATATTCCCACAACCATCACTAAAATGTATTAAAATAACAATTAATAATGATAATAATGATAATAATAAACTTTATAAAATGCAAATTTATATACCTAAATACATAATTATTTCGTTCAATATCTGGAATTCTTATTATCTGATTCTCTTCTAGCTCCAAAGTGCCAATTGTGCTAGTAAAGCATTGGCCCATCCGAGCTGCATACAATGCAGGAACTTTAATTTCACTGTGATAATAATTTCAAATCACATTTATCATCAGAAAAGTTATCTAATAATATAAGATATAATAATATACGTATAACATTTTATCATTTACCTAAAATCACCCATAGTTGCACGTATCATGTCTGCATTAAGCTCATGGTCGGTCGATACAAACCAGCATGAATTTTCTCGTAATTGCGAAGACGAGAAAGCAAGAAATTCATACTGTCGTCCAGAGACCGTGAAACCATTATTTAATATATTACTAATCCTTGAATCACATATATCTAAGTATTGTTGTTCATTAACAAATAATCTATCGAAATTTTCATCTTTAAACGTAACGCGGATAAATCTATCAGTATATTCTGGATATTGTCGAAGAATACGATTTGAAGATTCGTATTCTGGACCATCAAAATAAATTTTTGTGGGTGTTATAGTTGCATGATTAACCCATGCACAACGATTAGTTTCTTTTAATTTAATATTCGGGTTAGCCGGGTGCCATTCATCGTATTCACCTCGAAAACTTCTTAATGCAATTTCAAAGATTTCAACTGGTCGTCTATTATATCTATCATCACCTGGATCCCAATGTTGAATTGTCATTTGATTAAGTGCATACCAAGCAATAGTTTCCTTTTCATCACAAATAAGTTCAATTAATTTTTCACCAATTCTATATTCCATAATTTCATGTATTGTAATTATATTATGTGAAATTAAAGATTCTAATTTAAAACCAATTCTAAATGGTAAAAGTTCAAAAGTTCCTTTAAGATAAAATTCTGAATCTTTTGGTATTTCTTCACATGAAACAAAACATTTTGGAATACGAGTTTGAATACCAGGTATTGACATATTATTTAAATATCTTTGGATTTCCTCGAGATTTTCGTTAATTATCAATCTATAAACTAAAAATTTTCCAAATGCATTAACAATACCCGTCCAATCATAGGTTCTAATCCATTCCTCTTCGTTATAAATATGATAAAGTAATCTAGTATTTGTACTTCTTTGAGCATACTTATTGGTTTTGCGTAAAAGTATTGGGGAACATTTAAGTGAAATATATAAGGAAATGAAACCATTTTCACGCTCTCGTCGTACATCGAGAAGGATTCCCCGACGGGAATCAGATAGCCAACGGAGGGGTATTTTAATTCTTTTTTCATCTTTAAGATCAGATGATAATGCAAAACCGTCTATAAGAATTGCATCAGATTCTTTTGATATGCATAATTTGGGTTTAACATAATAATCAGGGTATCGCCAATCACATAAGAATGTCCATCTTTGAGTTTGCAATGGACGTTTTCCACGCCTTTTATAATCAACTATTGGTAATTGACCTGCCCAATTTCCAAGCTCGATATTCGAAACCGGAAATGTTGGTTCATTTGCATTTATCAAGGGTTCAATGTTACGCCGTCTTCTTCCTCTCTTATTTTCTTGTATAATTAATGGTCTATTCATGCAAAATGGTGTGTTATAATCAGCCCTACTCATTAGGTCATCTGCGTCGTCGTCATCAAGCGTAATGAAAGCCAAACCTCCATTGATATGGAAAGGATTGTTATTAAGCTTGTTTTTTGTTAATTCACACCTAATAATTTTTCCTCTAATGAGACGTTCCAATGCGTTAGTCACATTAATAGCATTAGCTTCATAAGGTATATTACTGACTAAAATTTCTTTTGGCATTACAATTACAATTATTAAAGCTTATGAGTCTGAATTACGGTAACAGTAATGCAGAATCAATTTTTTTTTATTTATTATTTATTATAAAAAAAAACTTGTTTGAAAATATATAAGATTTGCAACTTGCAGTGTTTGATGTTTGTATTTCAAACTGATGATCTGTTTGGAATATCTTTATCGGATTTGAAAGCCAATTCCCTAAAAACTTTATTAGTTAGTGTTACTTTTTTATTATTAGATTAAGATTCGGTTACGATAATACGTACTAAAAACTTTGCAAGGAAACTTTTAATAACATATGTAAAATCGTTTGATTGACCGGAGAAATGGTTTAGACGGTAACACTATGACCTAACGTTACACTTTGGCGGCTAAGCCTGAATCGATTGTTAAAACGGAAATCTAATCAGGATTTTTGAGTAACCTAAAAAAATTCCTTGCGGAATTTCATCACCGAATAACAATAGTAGTGACAATAATAATGATTAGTCTCTAAATACGCAGACTAAGTACGTACGTACGTACGTGTCGATTATTCTTTAAATGTATGCTATCAGCTATCTTGGGTCATAGAGAATTCCCTTCATAAGAAGAACAACAAATACATTTTAAATAATTAAATTGTAAATAATTGTTAGGACACTTCAAGCGTTCACTCCTGGACATTAGTTCACATTTTATACGTTATCTTATTTTTATAATTTCGGATCACGACTGCGACCAGAAATAACGCATCTGGGTTATTCTACGCTTGTACAGTATATTGCATCAGAAATTTTTGATAATATGTAGTTTTGGGTGGATGCAAAGAGTCCAATAATATGTAGTTATTCATTCGGTATGATTATGTTGGAGATACTATGCTATTGTAATTTAGGGTCACAATTCTATATCGATATATAAATCTAACGAAAAAATGTTCTGTACAAGTTTCTGTAAAATATGTACTGTATCTAATTCCATGTTTGTACGTACGTACGTACGTACGTTTATTTCTGTATACGTACTTGTTTCTTATCAGTTATAGCGATAGGGTTTGATGTATCAAAGCCTCAAATATAGTAAATAGTAGTATATCATATATAATGAGAGTCACGAGTATGGAAGGAACTCTAAATTTTTAAAATTTATCCTTGATACTTATTCATCCAAATACTGACCATATTGTATTTTAGTTATATTAAAAAGAAAAACAAATACGATTTTTTTTATTATAATATGAAATATTAAAAGAAAATATTTTTGTTTTACGATTAGAATCAAGTCAGTTAAATTTTAACGTAACTGATTAATCTTGATTTTATTAAACTCTACTCATTCTTCAAACATTATCTTATTGCTCGAAGTATAGATATTCGTCGTGATCGAAAAAAATCACCATTTGGCGTTTGCTTTCAAATAGGGATTTCCCTAATCCATTACTTATATGAGGAATTGAAAGTAAGTGTCAAAACGGCGGTTTTTTAGTTGGGGATCAACATTGATTAATCAAAAAAACGAAAAAGCAAAGAATCTGGAGTCTAAATATTTTGCCTATAACATCATTCTAATCTTAGCTTCAAATCAACTAAATTATTAAATTTTATATACCGTAAATTCTCGAAATAACGGGCATCTGCGGTTATTTAAATACTTGCGCATTATTTCGGGTACATCTATGGATCAATTGTGTGATGGTCTTCACGATTTACATAAATACGTAATGTACGAGTTGCTTTTATTATATTAGTCAATCTTTACATATGGGCTAATCGGAGACATTGGGCCCTAGACAAAGGCACTAGATTTATTTTGAACCTGTATTTAATTGGCTTTA